GAGAAGATGAGGTGGTCACCCGCCCTTCAACTTTCAACTGATTTTCTTCGCTGTTGTTCCCCTCCCAAGATAAATAGAAAAAATAAGTTAGCAGTGCTCAAAGATCTAAAGAAATAGGAATTGAAAAATTTTTTTATTATATGTTATCTGAAAATAAAGCGTGGCACGAAAGAGCCTTTACCACCTCATCTTCTCCTTCCACTTCGACAACTGTTTGATTGGCTGCCATCTGGCATCTATCTGGCAGTCATCCGGCAATTGTGGCAACATAACCAACGTTTTTTATTGCCAAGCAACGAGTATCATGATCATAACACGAAATCAAGCAATCTGTATGCTTTTTTATGTTGACTATTCTGTAGAAAATGCTAAAAAATGTGAAAAGAAAATTGAAGACCTCGGTGATTTTGAAATCTGTTACAATGTTGATCCCAAACAACCAATACTTGTTTCAAGACAGAGGATTCGTGAAAGCCATTCACATCATCTTTATCCTACCAGAGTTTCCGAAAATTAACCGTAGAACTTGTAGTATTTACGCTACTATTCAGTGCTTAAATGCAATGTCTAGAGTTAAACCTAATGTTGGTATAAGATCTATTACACCTTAATCAAATATAGCCAACTCAGTTTAAATACCTCAGCTTCTTAATGTATAATTATAGATTGTGCTATCACCTCTTTTCTCTTCAGTTTATTCTGAATAAAGATACAACACAGTCTCATCGTATTTTTTACTTTGTTTAAATCTATCCAAACCCAAATACAACAGAACTATTTGAAATGTTTATTTATACTATTCATGAATTTTGCAATTGTTATTTTGATCGTTGTAAAATCTTCTTTCGGCAATCAAACTTGGTAAGAAGTGTGGGATCAGATACTAAAAGCTTTGTATCAAATAGGTGGATTTCATTGTCCAAAGCAAAAGTATCAATTGCAATTTTTTTTATCTTATCATTGTTTTCGATCAACCTGTTTAGCTCTTGTGGTCTTGATGTAAGCCCCGCATAATCGATGGATACCAAACAGATGTCACGGTCTGCAGATTGTAAATAATGAAGCATATCTGTAGTGAATTAATAGAGTGAGCTCTACCTTATGTTTTCATCTATTATGACTTACCTTGTGTATCTCCGTTCACATTGCTTAATTTTGCAATCATAGATTTATTGGTCGTGGTATCTCTTTCGCTGAAAGGAGTGGATGCGCAACTGGAAAAAGAGACATATATTCTGGTTGTCAAGGAGCGACTTTGCAAGTTGTCCACCATTTTCTGCAGAAGTTTCACCCTGTTTTCATTTTTATCATTTGAAGGGGACTTGCGAGCATATCCCACTATTTCAAACCCATTTCGCTTTAAATTTTTTATTGACTCCTGATACAGAGGTAAAAATTGGCAAATTGCTGATTTTATGTCATCTATCAAGAAATTGGTTAACAAAATACTCTAATTACACCAACATTTGAGCTTACCGTGGAATTGCTCATCCATAACATAACAAGATCTTACTCGAATATTGTTTTTTCGTTCTTCCTGGGCTCTTAAGAATGATAAACGAGCATTCGAACACCATCTTGAGAAAGATAACACCGACTTATTTTCAAATATAACTGTATGTTTTCTGACTGTATCATATATGTCCGCGGTAGATACTGATTTCATGTCATAAATATTAGTATTCTGAGGCTCTTCAGGTAGGTATACTTCATTTATGAATTGAATCACTTGAATTTCAGTTTCTACAAGAGAAGAGTTGAGAATTAACTTTTTTTTTTTCAATTAAAAATTACGAATAATCATAGCTTACGGAATTCAATCCTTTTTCTTTTTAAACTTTTGTCTGGTATATCACTAGAATGCAAGTATGTGCGATATGTCAATGGATCACCGCGAATCCTCTGTATTGAAACAAGTATTGGTTGTTTGGGATCAACATTGTAACAGATTTCAAAATCACCAAGGTCTTCAATTTTCTTTTCACATTTTTTAGCATTTTCTACAGAATAGTCAACATAAAAAAGCATACAGATTGCTTGATTTCGTGTTATGATCATGATACTCGTTGCTTGGCAATAAAAAAAGTTGGTTATGTTGCCACAATTGCCGGATGACTGCCAGATAGATGCCAGATGG